AGGGGTTTAGGGGTTTACGGTTTAAGGGTTTGAGGATGTTTGAGGGTTTAGGGGTTCAGGGTTTGGTGGGGTTTAGGGTTAAGGTTTTAGGCTTGAGGGTTTGATGGGGTTTAGCGTTTAGGCTTGAGGGCTTAAGGTTTGGGATTCCGGTTTTTGGTTTTCGGGTTTGGTGCTTAGGGTTTAGGCTTGAGGGTTTAGGGCTTAGGCTGAAGGGTTTGGGGTGTAGAGTTCAGCATTGAGGGTTCAGGAATTTCAGGGCTTTCTCAGCGGTACCGCACATGCTGGGAAGTGTACGTGGTACATGGGGGCTACGGGTTTCGGAGCCTGCTAGGCTAGATGCCCCATATGTGCTCATTCTCTTAAGGTTCCTGTGCTACCCCGAGACTACCCCGGTTCCCCTTTAACGGACTTCATTCGCCTTATAGAATTATCATTGAATAGCCTGAACTGGAGGCACTACCCCACAGATGGTGATAGTAGCATGTATGGCGATTTGAGAAGACATGCGACTTCCGCCGGAAACTCCTCGACCTGGAGTACCCAGCAGCTTCTGGCTTTCATGGCTCACAACCCAAGGATATGTTTAGTGTTTAAAGCGTAGGGTTGGGGGTTTAAAGCTCAAGGTCTGGGACTTCTTGTTTACTTATATCTGGAAACTATGGGGATCCCCCCTGAAATCCGCAAGGGCAGCATGTCAGTACTCTCCGAAAATTTTACAACCATGCCAGATGATTTTGCTCAATGCGCTCTCCCACTTTTAGGATGTAAAGCAGCCACGTATAGACATCTTTGTATACGGTTTCAGGAAACAGGGCCCCCTTTTGGGGAAATATACAGAACAACCAGTCTACATTATATGTACAAAAACCACATGCCTGACTCACACAAAACTGGGCTGTGAGGGCCAAGAAAAGGATCCGAATCCAACATCCCTAAACCTTAAACTCTGAACCCTAAACCCCAAATCCTAGGCACAACTCCTTTCTGATGCCCTCAGGAACCACTTGTAATACCAAGCCAGTCTACACCTTTTCAAAGCACATCTGGGATATCGGCATGACCAGGGCAGCCGTGCAAGCGACACCTAGGTAACGGATTGGAGTTTAGGATGTGGGGTGTAAGGTTTTGCACAACAGTGTAAATGGGCACCCCAGGGGGGTGTGGGAATTGGGAGATATCACAGGAAGGAAATGGTATACAAGGAGAAGCCCACAATCATAACTTGGGCTCTACGTGGGTTATGCTAGGACCAAGCACGGCTCTAGGTCCCATGAAAGAAGTTGTGGGACAGATGTAGAGCCATGTGACTGGGTGGCCCCTCCTTGTAGGGAGTACACCGGCCAAAGGGTTGGGGATGTAGGTTTGCATCATTTCCTAGACGAGGAGGCATGACAAGATGGCAACGTTGTGAGGCCAGTTTTGGTCCGAGCTGAAACAAAAGAGCAGGTCGTCACTTTGCATCAGAAAAGGGCCCTTACTTTTCCAAATGCTTATATATTCCTTATATAAAATACTATACCCCAAAAGGAGGATGGAATCTTACTCTACAATGTGTACCATAGTATCCCCAAATAAAACACTACTCATCTAAACTTCTCATCAGGTACTCTGCAAAGGTGCCGCTAATGTGTACCAAACTTCTAGCGTCATAGGTGGAGCAACAGGAGTCTGGCGCAAGAAAACACGCCCCCTAACCCCCCCCCCCCCAAGCATGACATCCATATTTCAAGGTGAATTGGTAGTTACAAGTTCGGCTACAATCTCTAAGACCCATTTCGGGGGATGTATCAGCCATAGAACCCACAAACCTTCAACTACCTTCAACCCCAACCGGTGCGACTGACCTATAACCCATATAGTAACCCTACTTATCCCCATCAGTAACCTACTTACTAAGTCTCCCTGACCCTCCAATTAATGTTCACTAACTATAATAGTAGCTACAGTCGGATATAAGCAAAAGCCTGGTTACAACTTGGGTAGTGCCTCGGCCCTGTAACAGTGCATATGAAGGTTCGTTCTGAGGGCTATATCTATATACATATATATATATATCACTATAATATAGGTATTATCCAACTGTTACAATGGGGGGCAACATCTAAGTCACAACGAACGAGTTTTCCTACGTAGCTACACTCTAAGTCCCAGACTGTTACCACGTCAAAAGCCAACCCTTCCCAATCATTCACCATGACTAAGGCTAGTCGAACCATGACTTACTGGTGCTTAAAAGAGACGTGGGGGGTGTATGTTGGGTTTGGGGCTGAGGGTTCAAGTTTTCGGGATTTAGGGTGTAAGGTACTAGTCTAGTGAATCTCTGAGGATGAAACAGGCACCACGATAAGGATGTACTCCTTCACTCTCACTCAGGCATCACCAGACTCCAATCCCAACGGCATTCAGCTTTTTGCCCAAAGTCCGGCGCGGGAATGAGGCCTGCCTGTTGGCGCCTAAACGCCGAACTCTAAACACGGAACTCAGGCCTTGCTGGCTCAGAGCATGTACTAGATGCAGCAAGCCTCTCTTTCTACATTATACTTACTGGTTCGTAACATTGAATAAGATATATGAGCCCTTATATACTATATTGCTATATTCCCTACTAAGCCCCAGTAAGAATATAGTTTTGGGCTTACAGCTTCAGGCTTACAATTCAGGTTATAAAGCTTTTGGGATGTGAAGCCTAGCTTGCATCAACAAATCTCTCACGTCATTCAAGCCTAATTGTCCCACAACCTTTTCAGTAAAGCCCCCTTCGCAAAGGATTGACCTACAAATTTGTTTTACACAACGTCGACTTTACGTCAATCATGCAACACCACATGCATTCCTGGAAGGATCTCAACTCCACATATAGAAGTTTCCACGTATAGGGGGCCCAGTATAGACCTTCAAATACGATAGCCCTTTTTGTAAGGACCCTCACATGGAACCTGGTGGTTTATGGCTTCTAGAGACTGATCAGTAGCTTCTGAATACAGAGTACACCAAAACAATAACTATTTGGCGAGAGTGAGAGCCATTGTTCTCCAAAAGTCTGCTAGTCTCCCCTAGCAATGCTAAGCCCTATAAACCCTAAACCCGGAGAAACAGTCACAGCAGCGCTGGCTTTCATTAAGGAAAACCTGCCCTTTTTGCGGAGAAACCTCTTCCTCCTAGGATATTCAGATGAATGGGAAAAGACACGACTCATTGCTCAAGAAGCCAGCCACCGAAACAAACTAGAACAAACAAAACTAAAACACATCTTTGCGGGGGGCGAAGCATGAATTTCGGAGCTTGGTGGTTTTCTGCCTTTGGTGTTGGACATGCTTGGCCTTGCGAATACGAACTAAACCCTAAACCCTAAGCAGCAAGTGTTTGGGGAGGACACGTGGCTTCCTAGAATGGGTGCGGTTGTTGGCTTTGCTTTGGGCTGGTGCTGTCCTCCCTGAGTTTTAACGACGAGATAGAAAATCTAGACTGAACGCAAAGACAAAAAAAAACATCTAGACAAAACGCTGAAAATCCAAGGCACCAAAAGTCTGCACTTTTGACGGCAATTGCAATACTATCGGCGGGCAAGTACGTTCCCGCAAGATGAATTTATCTTTAAAAGTACTAAGCATCCTACCCCGTGCTAGGAGCGTTTTCTACAGGGCACCCTGCCAAGTTCCCTGAAGTGTCCTACATGCATTGTCGGTTGAAATCTTGACCATCATGCCATTGAACAACCACAAGGCTCAGGGTTTGTCTTAAGACAGTGATTCAAACAGCAAGCCCGACAAAGCCCTGCTACACCCTAACACCTACACCCCAAACCCTGAACCCGAAACCCTAAGCCCTGAGCCATAGGCTTTCGACATAGCCAGCATTCCTAAGAGTTCCTTGCATCACGCGAAACTTCGAAAGGGCTCCTGGACAGCGGCCGCACAGTGGAAAACCCACAGACACTTTATGGAACTTCGGAGTTTAGGGACTATATAAGGATTAGGGATTAAGGTTTAGGAGCCTTGGAGTTATTAGGGTTTAAGGTTTAGGAACCTTGGAGTTTAGGGACTATACAGGGATTAGGGTTTAAGGTTTAGAAACCTTGGAGTTTAGGGATTATATAGTGATTACGTAAGGTTTAGGGTTAAGGAACCTTGGAGTTTAGGTATTATGTAGGGATTGAGGTTTGAGGTTTAGGAACCTTGGAGCTGAGGGATTATATAGGGATTAGGGTTCCGGGCTTAGGTACATTGGAGTTACTAATGGGTGAGGTAACCTGCTTATAAGTTGCGAAAATGGGATCATCATGACCTGACTAAGAGGATATGATATATTGCCGACCTCCAGATGTCCCTCAAAGTTCTGGGAAGGACTTGGTTGGAGTTAGAGACTGGGTAGGTTTCAGCCGCACCCGGAGCCCCCAACAATTGGGGCCTTGGGTCCCAAACACCATTCAGATTACAGTATTTGGGCCCTGAAAACCCCAGTGCTTGCGTCCTTGGACCCTTAGGTACTTGCCCCTAAACCCTAAATCCCTACATCCTAACCCCTGAACTCTCGGTTTAAGGTTTAGGGTCTAAACCTTACAAAAAAAGTCCTGCCTTCTCAAGCCGAGCCTATTGTGGAGGTTAAAGAACTAGCATCATGCACCGGGTTTAGGGTTTAGGGTCTAGCCCCCCCAACAAACTCCACAACCTGTGGAGGCTTCTGCTACTTCAAAAAAAAAAACTACACGTGGCTTGTGGATCATCTCCTTCTGAACCAGCAAGCTTGCCATGTTCCTACACCCTAAACTCTATCTGCCTCAACTGCAATCCCCCGGGACCAATGATAAACATGATGGTTCTTAATGATAGTTCGTTATAGGGTTATGTCAAATAAAAAGTAACGTCTATGGTAGTTTCCCTAAACAGGGGAACCTCAATATAAACCCCAAAATACTACAGTCCTTATTATAGGGACCCTCACGCTGGTACCCATACTGTTGGGAACCCCCCTATGGAGACTACAGTCAAGACAAGCTGCGCTGCCATTGGCAATTCGGCGAAGTTCGTCACGCTCCTGCTGCAATGTCTGGTAGAGTGGATTGCTGTTCAGGAATGTAAGTCAAGTTACAATGGGGGGGGTACACTATAAGGTCTAGGGTTTGGGGTTACTATATTGGGGAGGCTATACGAACTACTATATACCCATGATGGTAACTTAATCCTTAACAGCAACCCACCTGGACCCCCAAAGTATGTAGAATTCTAGCCTTTTGGCATGTTTGTAGGCGGTTTAGAGCTAATATTCTACATACATTGGGGGTTAGGCAGTGGATTCTGCTGCCGGGGCATTGTAGGGGATCCGTCAATGCAGCGCAATGTAAGTGCCTCAATGAAGATTATAAGGTGCCTCTTGCAAAGGGGGCACAGAGAATATAAAGGGGATGTATAGGGTTTAGGGTTAAGGACTTATACTTTGGGGTTCGGGTGGGTTGCTAAATGCCAGTACTGTAATGGAGGATCAAACAAAATGGAAAATAAAGCCGGAAGTGGGCGTGTATCTATATGTAGGCTTGAAAGGGGGATTGAAGAACTTCCAGTACTCTTTCGAAGTCTATCGGCGGTATCCTACACCAAATTGTTACTAAGGCTCTAGTATTATAAGGGGATTCTCATGGGCACGCCTTATTGCGGATTTTGCTGGGAACACTGAAGAAACGCCAACCTTAACATAAGGCGAGTCCAAGGCAAGCCAGAAGGCTTAGCCAGCCCTCATATGACCCTGCCTGGCCAGTTTCTTGACGGTTTAGGGTTGCACCTTAAATCGCCCCGGCCTAAAGGGCCCGTATCCCCAAACCCCAAGCCCTAAACCCAAAGCTTAATCAAAAACAGCGGAGACCCTCAAAAGGAGGTCCGTAATTATCAATTAAGCGTATTCAGAATAGGGTACAGCAGAAGTACCTTAGGTCAAGAAACCCTAAACCCACTGGAACTCATCGTTGAGGAACAGGATCCACCCTCGCGTGACGGTCTTTTTGTACTCGGTTGAACAACGCCACTGATTGGGGTCTCGAGTTTTTAACGGGATACGACTGGCAGCATCATATAGGGTACGATACCCAAATTG